CGTCGTCTGCGAGCCGAAACCGCGACGGCAAATATTTTAATTTGCATCTGGAACTCAACGCTACTTTTATACGTCATACTGAAGTTGAGCTGTGGCGCCGTATGAGACAGTGAGCTCATGCAGTTATTTTGGAAATTCTAACTAAGAGTAGAAATTCATTTTTTAATCGAAGTCTTCCTTGGCGTTGCCGTCCTGACTGCTTAAGGTCCCTATTAATTTGGGGACGGGGAGTAAGATTCGTAGAAAGATGGAACTGGATGTGCTGACTGCAATTCAGTAAGGAGGTGTTTTTAAAGGCCGCAGAGGTGCCAAGGTCATGTACGTCACAAAATGATCACATCATGCTGAGAGATCATTGAGCAATTGAAATGAGTTTATTTTCAAGGGAATGGCATAACCATCCATCCACCGAGGAACTAATCTTCAAATTAATTTTACACCACCTTAACGGTAGATCCCTCTATTACTTTGAAGTTTCCTTAACAAACTTTGTGTGATACTAGCTACATTTTAGTCTACTTACGTTTCTAAAGATGCACATTAAAAGTTTCGAGGCTAGACAATTTCGAAAAGAAATATCTTAAATTTAAAACTCATAATGAAAGATATCTATCTTCAAAAGGGCTTTCCACCCAGCTCTGAACACACCTACCACCAGTTGAGTACTCTAGAGTTACATAAAAAAAATCGATTTTGATCTAACCTGATCTCAAACAAAGCAGATAAGGATCTATTTTAAAACTTACTTTTAAAAATTCTGCCTTAAAAAAAGGGACGTTTTAAATCGAGGGCGTTACCAATAGAGACAAGTTGTACGGTCGGGATCAAAATAACGCTAGTTTTAGAAGATGCACGAAATGGTTGTCACATTGCAGGCAGAAGCTAAAATCATTAAACAACCATGCTAAAAGCTGTCCTTGCATTGAATCCTAACCAGATTGATCCTGTAAAATAAAATTCATTACACATCATTAAATTTGAGCATAATCTACGAGTGGAGAGTTGCCAACACTGGGGAAAATTGTATATTTGGTATTATTAAAAGCTGAATCATTCGATAACGCACTTCAAGACTTTTTATTGGCTTAGCCATTATAGTATATGAGCCAATATACCATAATCAAATATCTGTACATTGTAACATCTGGTTTCTTTTTATAAAATAAAGTCGAGAAGATTTGTCATATCTTAAGGGCGTATTTTTTAATAAAAGATTTATTCCACTCGCGCTTGTTGGATATGAGATGATTATAGCCAACTTGGCGCTATGTGCCTCGTTGGCTATCTATCATCTCATATCCAACGCGCGCTCAAGAGAAAATTGTTAACTTTAGGATTTTAGCAATTTGAAATGTAAATCTATGTTAACTTTCCAATTTTCATAAAGACTTTTTTTAATATAGTGTGAAAATTTTCATTCCATTATTACCACTCGCTATCGTTGTGGAGAGTGACTAAAGAAATTTCTCGAATACTTAGTTGTGCTGACTTGCATGTATGAACTTCCTATGAGACTTTGGTGAACAGTAATGAACTGAGATATAGATTCTAGAGAGTTATTGAAGATAATTACTGTATTTTCTCTTGGAGTCTCTCCTAAGTATGAATATTACACGTCATTTAATAAAGTAGTTGAGCTTATGGGATAATGGTGTTTTTCTGTCGTTTGAACTAAACCGTAACACATCAAAAACAAATTTACACATCCAGCTCCTCATCACTAAAGCACATTTGTTTTAGAAATAGCATACACAAATAATTATTGCACCAAAAAGAAATCTCTGACATTTTTCGCAACTGCTTCTGATGGTGACTAGTCAGACATTCCCAATCAACGAAACGCGAAAAAGATAAAAACAACAGTTGGACATTTTTTAGACTTCAATTCTCAAGAGCTACATGGACCAGTTAAACCTGGATATCTCATGAAGATCATACACACAAACACAGACGGCCTACTTTCCTTACCACTTTCGTTATAAATACCTGTGGCGCCCCATTCTTCAGCCGTTACGGAATGTGGCAGCAACGACATAAGTTTGAACTGCATGTTTTCTTGAATTAGATGCATTCAGTTAAGTCCTTTTCAGCACTCACCTTAAGTTATCCTGCTCTGTACGCGTGCAACAATTTTCTTAGCAAGCTGCAAGGCCTCCTGGGCCATCTGAATAGAGTACACCTCATTCGGAATCTGGGGAAAACACATTCTGTCTGGATAACGCATGCGTGTAGAATCGCCAACTAGACACTCTAATCGTCTTGCTAGATTTGATAGCTCAGGGTCATTTAGATCGCAGCAAATTTCTACTAGGTTGTGGACCCTTGTCCTGTCAGTATCTATTGTATACTGTGCCGCCTTCAAAGCCTTCTCTGCTGCCTGTGGGGAAAATAAAATAGAAAACTTCGGTACTGTCGATTTGTGAGTCCTGTTCACGTTAATCCCGTTAAATGTTTCTTCCAGAGGCAACCTAATTAAAGATTCATGTGTCTGTCATATAACTGTCACCACTTAACAGAAAAAAGAAAACAAAACTTTGGAAGCGAAAGTAATCCGCTCACAATTTGCAAGCACATATGGTTATATAGGCAAGTCAAAGAGATACGATTAGTTATGAAAATAAAAATGGCTGAACTTAACCAAAGAAGTTCTATTTTTATATCACGCGCTATACCGCAACATTGAAATAACGATTGCAGCATATGAGAACTATTATAACTGATGTCAACTTTTACCTGGTGACATTTAAAGCATGCCCACTCATACGAGGGTCTCTCGCAAAGGATATCATTGTTTGCTGCCTCGATATCAGCAACCGCTTGTTTGAACCAACGCCTAGCCTCCCCTGGTTGAGGATTATTTCTATGGTGTCGTGGTCTTCCTCTGTATCCCTGGCGCTGCGTGTTATGTTCCCTTGCACGCCCAGCCCATGAAGTAAAGAAGCTGCTGTAAGACCCTTCTCGAATTCCAGCTTCAAAGCTTGAGGTTTGGCTACCCTGCGGCTCCCCTCTTTCCAACCGTGAAACCTCGCTCTGTATGTGCTGACATACCTCTGTGCAGAATTCCTCATCGCCTAAGTTTTTATCGGGGTGCCACCGCAAATACAGCCGCTTGATTATTTTTCGTCTTTTGTCCTCTGGCAGTATCCACGCCTCCTCCAGAAGGTCTGAGATCTCTTCGAAAATTCCTTGTCTGCTTCTTGAGTTAGGGAGCTGCCTAGGCTTATCACACAGGACTACGGCAGATGAAGATGTCTCGGTTAAACGGTGGAATTTGTACAAATCCGTAGCATCTACAATAGTTTCTTGGCCATTTCCGATGTTGATTTTGTAACGCCTTGCCAGGCGGCTGTTGAGTTCACTCGTTACTTCTTCAATAATTATAGCGTATATATAGGTGGCATCTCCTCCTTCTCTATCCAGACTTGGGTCATGCAGCTCAAAGCCCACATAATCGCCTGGTTCGAATTCTTCAAAGTCGTCATTCAAAAGGTGGTGGTCTTGTTGAGGAATAAAGCTACCTGGCTCAGGCAGAATTTCTTCTTCTTCTACAAGGAGAGAGTCATCTGGTCGTACACCCATAGTATCAAGCAGGGACATTATGTCGTTCAGGGAACAGCTCAACATATGGGAAATCAATAACGCACTTTCTCCAAGAAGTCCAAAACATAGTTCCCTGACCACGCCAGACACCAACAATATTGTCTTGGTGTGCGTGATCGTTCCTGTCGCGACATTGATGTATACCTTGGAAATTTCTTCATCTGAGGCTAGAACCTTGTTCACGAAGTATGGAACTTCTGCTTCACTCTCGGATATAGGATTTCCGTCACAAAAGAGTGAGGTCTTGAGGCTGTTTACGGCATAAAGCCCGATGGCGCAGAGCCTTTTCTTAATACTTTCAATCACGGTGTCATCAACATTTCTTTTCAGGCGACAGCTCTCGTGTCGGATTAGCCTCACAATGCCATGAAAGAACTGTGGGGACGAAAGCTGCTGCTTAAGTTTGGTTATTGCAGTACTCGCCATAGTTTCAAAACTTGGCGAGCTGATATCTTCTTTGACAACAGAGGATAGCAGTTTTGGCCTCAGCGATTCTGGTAACTTCATCATGAGCTCTTTGTAGTTGGTTCTGGCATTGATGCTAGATACATTCATCCGGCGTGGGTCGAGCAAGAGATTCTGTCTCAAATTATACAATCGATCACGGATAGCGGGCGACATATCATTGAAAATCAGCTCTGAAGACGTGTGCAAATTGAGAGGTATCACATTAGTACTGCCATCCGTCTCTATGCGTGCGGGAGAAACGCCCGGTAAGTAAAGCTGGGATATGGCACTCACTTCCTTATCATCTTGCTGAAGCTTATCAAAAACTCCTTTGACTGCCTTAATGCACACCTTTACTTCATTCGGGTCCAGCTTCGAACTTTGGCACTTATTATGCAGCAGGTCCAACACCATGGCATAGTGAACTATGGTGACAGATTTTGAGCAGCCAAGATTCTGGAACAAACTACGGAACTTACCGAATTCCATAGGAATTCTATAGAGAAATGGCCTAATCTGCAAGTGCTCGTAGAGCTCAAGGACTGCTTGGCGTGGCAGAATGAATTTCTTTCCACTTTCCACCAAAATACAAGGTGTATCCTCTAAGACTTTCTTTGCATCACTCCTCTCGATGTTGTTGGTTTGCAGGAATGAGTAGATACGTTCCATTACTTCAGTTAAAGTTAAACATCGTTCTCTCGACGCACTTGTTCTTTCGCTGTTATTTCCAACCTGTGAACATATCTTCTGGCAGTGGCCGACCACAAGGTCCACTGTAGGCGTGTCCTGAATCTGGAGCTGTGAGATAAAAGCATTACAGTATCTGTTTACATCAAGGTTTGGAGGACAGGCCTTTCGAAGATCTGAAAAACGATTCTTTGGATTAGCCCACCGTGGAAGTAAATGTGCTTTAGTCCAGACTATTTCAGAATGATCGGCGGGAACTGCTCCATGGAAGGAAAAATAAGGTGTCTGATGACCTGTGTAGCCTCCAAATGACAGGCAAATTTCTTGCAAACTTTCTTTGACTGGGTCCCCGGCTACAAACGGGATGTCGGAGATACTGTCCAGCAATCCTTCAGCAATTACGTTTGTTCGGTTCATGAGATGATCGACCAACACTCTAGATTTCTCGCACGTACTATCATTGGGAGCTGTTGCAGCCTCGCGCGCAACTTCTGTAGCAAATTTCCTAAAATGGTCTTTAGAGACGACACAAACGAGGCCTATGTTTTTCAAAAATTTCAGCCATTCAGATGAGTCGAAAGGCTGCGTTGGAAACAAGTTGACCTGAAGCATGATTCTAAAAACGCTGTTCCTGGGGTCATAAAAACAAGATGCAGTCTTCAGACTTCCATTTGCCCAGGGAACAAGAGGAGTATCTCTCAGACAATTTAGCAATTTCTCCTTTTCATCATCCTCTGCATTTTCCAAAATCGTTTTACGGATGTAGGTCAGGTGAGACTCTCTTCCCTCTTTGCTGAAGACTGAGATATTGGGTAGAATAAAAGTACAATAGAAATCAACAGCCGAGAAGCATTTCAGTGCAAGGAATTTAAATAGCTCAGAAATACTTGATCGGAATTCCAGAAACACTATGTTTAGCTCACTCTCAAGAAGGTTCATTTCGTTTCGTGGTATTCCACCTGGTAGGACGTACACCTCACGATCATCGAGTCCTATAAAACCACCGTGGGTTGCCAGATAAAAAGGAAGTCTTCTCAACGTCACTCTGTCTTCATCTCTTAAGCATCCTACACTTCTGCTGAAGTATTCTAGGACTGAAAGACATTCCTGTCGTTCCAATCTTCCTTCCAGTGACTGCCGGTCTAATGCCATCTTATGGTTAAGTGAGATAAGAATTGACGAGGGAGACTTCAAAGATGATACAAGCATGCGGGCTAAGCTAACTGAGTTTGAAGACAGAGAGCTATGTGCGCTGTTAGCTTGGATAACACTTAGGTTCAGTTCAGGCAAACCGACCCTTCGCAAGACATCAACAAGTTTCAGGCTTGAGGAATCCGCAGACCTGAAATCGATAGCGAATGCTGCTTTTCCTAAAGGCAGCAGATAATGTTTAGTAGGTGGAGGTGTGCGTATAGGAGAAAATATAGCCCATAGTGACTTTCCTCTTTCTTCCTTTGTCTCTGTAACTGGAAGAATGCTCCAGTCCAGTAAGGGCTTAAGCATTGTTTGGACCTGGTGAACCTTGCCTTCTTCATCACTTTTACCATCATTCAGAACACCTTTTACGAGCTCGGAAAGGAAAATCCAAGCCTTAAACATCCACCCCTGGTTGGGTATTTCTCTCTGATTAGGGGACCACTCAATAAACCTTCCGCTTCCATATATTTCCAATGATAGTGTCCTTGGTAGGTTGCCAGCAAATGAGATGGCATCCAGAGGCTTTAGACAGGGCAAACTGATGTTATCAGAACCACGAAAAACATTCATGTCAACTTTATCATGCAGGAATATGTCTGGAGATCCTGACAGAAGATCTTTGTATCGTGAGAGAAACTTGGGATCTTCATTTGAAAACAACTGAAGACGTTGGTCTTGTGTAAGTAGGAGAGGGAGACCAGGTAACGCGTCCAGAAAGTTCTCATCATTTCTGCAATACAGCAACATTTTCGTTACCCCAAGAACACTTTTTAATGATGTTTCCTGAACGTCACAAGGAATTGGTCCAATCGTGCATAAACGATCACAAGAACAAAACGTTGAGTAGAAATCAATGACCTTCCGAGGCGAAACGCAGCACGTCGTAACTCCAGCTCGCTGAAAAGAATTATGTAGTGCCAACGAAAAGACTACCAGGTTAAAACCACTTGCAAGTAAGATATACCTCAACATCTGTCGGAGTTTTACTAGATTCTCTTCTTGATCCTTTTCATATGATACTGCAAACGGCCCGTTTACGTAAAGATCGTCAAAAAATGCCTGACGTTTCCCAATACCAGTCGGTGGAAGCCAAGTTATCTCAGCAGATGCTCTTTCTTCGGTAATTTTCGATGCAACATCAAGGGATCTCTTTCTAACCACTGGTAGAATCTTTGCTTTCATCTTATTCATTTCTTGATAGACAGAATCAACCAGAGTTTTCCAGTATTTGTCATAGGGTATTTTACTGGGAAAATATGATTCGTAAACCTTTATCTTGTTCATGATCTCGCATTCAGTTTGAGGGCTTGGGTCTTGGGTTGTGGGCAGTTTAAGGAACTTCGGCACTTCAAACAACATTGAGATGTAACATGACGCAACGACATCTCTCAAAAGCGAATTGTTCCAGTCACTTCGATATCCTCCAAGATCCCCTTCATCCCTCCACAAGCTTCTTCTAGCCTCGTGGTCCAAGGCAAAGTGACCATTTACGTGAGCTGGAAGGTTTGTCTCAAGAGGAAGAGGTAGAAAACACTAGCCTTTCTTTTGTCTTGGGAGAGAATACTTGGAATGTCTCTCTAAAAGACAAGCAACACCACCGCGAGGAAGCATCCCCAGCTCTTGCTTCCTAAAAGCGTTCACGATACTTTCTTCTACATGTTTTTCAAAACCAACTTTTTGCACAATTAGCCACTTTTCTGCGTTTCCATTGGTGTCTGTTATGTCCAAGACGTAAGAAACCTTTTTTACCGGTATCTCTCTTGGATCAATCCCTCCCCTCTCCTTTTGAAGCTTTCCAATCTGTTTGATGTGATCAGCAAATGCTTTTCTCTACCCTTCATCTTCTTTTGACAAAGATGCTTCAACTGTATAGGAATTCATTAATTTGCCATTTGCTTTATCAACTTCACAAAGGGTTATCTTCCTGACGTTGTTCACAAAGAGTAGAACCTCAAACAATTCTTTTTTAAGCCCCTTTATCATAACATCCAGTTCTTCAAAGGACACAGAGTTTGAGGTAATTTTCGATTCGCGAGCCATCTCTTCGGTCCTCAGCGGGAATCTGAACATGGTTGCGTTGTCAATCTTAAAGTGATCTAACAAGTAGCAAGGAAATACATCAGGGAATTACTTCCTGAGGGTTGCTGTATCGTTGAACCTACCTCCTGGTTCTAAAGCCGTGGCACCTGGAAGATACTTACAATGTGGGTCGAATACACACAAAAGACCCCCAATCTCTTCTCCCTGTGAAACGAAGGATGGAACCTCAGTCAAGTGATAAACAGCATTAAAGCCTACCCCATACTGGCCAGTTTTGTTCGGATCTTCACCCTTACTTCCCTCGCCGAGATTCTGAATACCTTCAAGATCGTCATTGGTGAAAGGCCTGTTGTTGTACACACACAAAGCAGGGCCTTGTAGAGGTTTCCAACAATCTTCGAACACTTTTTCATTTGGATGGTCTCTCGGGTCTTTTATGAAACAAATCTCGGTTGCCTGTGCGTCGTCAGCATTTTGAAGAAGCTCTTTCAAAATTTCCTTTTCGCAGGGGTAGCACTGCAGAATGCGTTTCAGGCGATTTGTAAGTTTCTCTTTCTGTCCAAAGGAGATTCTGGTCATATGATTCCGCAATGCCTCTTCTCGTCGAGTTTTAACACCAAGTACCTGACAGCTTGACAAAGGAATTCTGGAATGAACAAAACGCACTACTTCTTCGTCAGGCATCCAGAGGCAGTCCCTGAAACAAAGCTCGGATACTGCCGTCATCACTCCCCTTGTGTCAGGAAGGTAAATGGCTCCCCAATAATCTTCTAACAGAGCAGGATTACTCCCATTTGCTCCTAATGTTTCTCCCAGTTGATTCGCTAGACGCACTGCTATTCTAAGGTTTTCTTCGTCTAACTCGTTCTCAGAAAATTGCCCTCTTATCTGCTGTAGACCTGAAATAAAATCTTCCTCTTCAAAGCATTCCCTGACACCAGCAAGTCTCATTAGCTTTGGCAAGTCCACTGCTAATCGTTTTGGAAGCTGATAAAGATAAGGTGAACAGTCATCACTCAAATGAAAAGCCACCTGGCCAGCGTGGAGGAACTTTCTTTCGCAAAGGATAAACCTCTTGTCTTTTAAAAATTTCTTTACAGCTGCATCGTTACTTGAAATTGCGTTCTGTAGGTATGAGTACACTGCTTTGCATACTGTGTTTATCTCCTCCATGGCACTGACCTCTAAAGATTCAACACTACAACACAACGCGTGTTTCAGTTGCCATAATACATGGTTTAACGTCGCGTGCTTCTTGTTAAGCTTCAGTAACACTTTGACATTTCGAGAGACAAACACCCCGATCAGTGGTTCTGTGCAGCACAAAAGATATTTTTCGTCTTCCGTGTAGACATCTTTTGGGGCGAGTAATGCATGATTTTCGTACTCCTCGCTTTTCCATTTAAGAGGAAAGTTCACTGGTTTCCTGAGAACGGGAATAAATCGAGCCTCCAGTATTCGTTTTCTTATGGCGTCTGGTGGTGGTTCATCCAGGTACCTTATCTTCCTCTCTAGAAATCCTAAAAATTCCTTCACTCTTGTTAAAGCTGCTACACTGTTTTCTGCATTTAGTCTATGGATACTTTCCGCTCTTTCTGCCACTTCCATCCAAGGAAGATGATCCGATGCCATTCCCAAAAGCTCAAGCTTTGCAAGTCGTCTAGGATTCAGAAAGGTCTCTGCATTTCCATATGGAAATCTTCCATCTTCTGGCAGAAAGAGACGAGCTGCATCTTTGCCTGGGTGAATAAGATCAGAAGGACGTCTTAGAGCTTCTCCAAGTGGGGATACCGGAACACAAGAATGGACTTGGACTAAGTCATCCCAATTGTTATCCATTGCATGCAATACGAGCAAATCTCTCATCTCTGAGGGTACTGCAGATATGTTTGGGAAGAAGAGTTGACGAAAAAATCTATTTTTGTCGTAGATTCGGGAGTTAATCACTTCCCCACATCCACAGATTTGGAAAGAGTTTAGGACGGAAATAGGCATATCATCAACCACAGCACGTTCACTCATCAAAAGCTGGAAAACTTTCAATGAAGTATCGCCAATGGAAGGATCGTTTCGAACAAGGGGATGAAGAAATACCACCTCATTGATAGAAAACCAGTTCTGTCCATCAGAAAACAAAGCGTGACTTCCAGAGGATATCTTTGTGTAAAATGACTTCGTGAGATGCCCGAGGTTTGAGAATACCTCATCAGCTTTTGGCCACAACGAATGGAACCTATAAGATCCTTCAGTTGGAGCAATTGACTTCAGGTCTTCAAGGAGGCACAAATAAGCTGAGCAGATGGAATCTAACATCAGCACTTTATTCCAGTCAACCCCATAACATTCTTTGTCGCCTTCGAGTTTTCTTTTTAAATGGCGTCTGTTTGCAGTTAATGCAAAGGCACCATTAATATGTACTGGAAGGCCACTATGGATTGGGAGTGGAAGGTAGCAGAAAAGAGTACCATTGACATCGATTCCATCATCCTTCTTAAAAACAGGCACAGGCACAAAGTTTTCGGCACCGCTTGCAATTAGCTGAACAGCTACCCCTCCTGATGGAAGAAGGCTAAAATCATTCTTGGCAAAGTTCAGTGCAAGTCCATCTCCCATGGAGGAGACTACAAACCAGGTTGTACATTGGGAATGAACGGTTTCCACGTCAGGTTTAAAGAAACGTAGACCACATTCCGTGAAAACACAGTGGACGTTGATCTTCATAGAGGACTTTATCAATTGCATTCTTTTTCCCGTCCTAAATGTTCGAACAACTGGCGAGGACGCGTGGAGGAAACTGCATTGCTTCAATAAATTCTGGTCATCAGAGTTCAAAATGTTCGCGGTGGGAGGAAGGGAAACAGGGACGGACAAGGATCTTACTATTCCTTTCTGAGACAATGATTTGGTGATCTTAAACGTCAATTTGACTGTTTCGTCTTGAGCTTCAGGTGTGGTCAAAGAAAAAATGCTCACCCGGAGAACGTTCTGTGTGAAGAGAAGTAAGGTTTCGGCTCCTTTAATCAGCATAAGCAGTAACTCTCTCATTTGTTTGTCGTCATACGCCAGCTTCTTTATCTCACTTTTCAAAGCCTGCTCAACTGTTCTCAACGGAAATCGAAACAGAGTTCCGTTGAACGAGTTGTCCTTTTTTTCTAGATTTAAATCACAGCCAAATATGCCATTGAACGGTTTGAACTGATTTCTAAATTTACGAAGCATCATCACATCTTTGTTGACATCAATCTTGATTCCAGGCATTGTTTTGTTCTTTAGAGCCTTCCCGAGATACGACGTATGAGGATCAAAAATCACAAAGTTGTTTCTGCTTATGAACATGGGAACATCTGTTAAATTGTATACTGCATTAAAGCCCAGTCCAAATCTGCCAATCTTTTCGGTGTCGTGCTGTTTCGTTGCTTCGTTCAATTTTGTAATGTTCTCAAAGTCTTCATCCTTAAATGTTGCATCATTGTAAACCCACAACGCGGGGCCTTGGCAACCCTTCATTCCATCGTCAATCAGGCAAGTCATTGCTTCCTCATTCTTTCTCTCATCATACAGAAATTTCACTTCTGTGGCGCCAGCATCGTCGGCGTTTTGAATTAGTTCCTTCAGAACGGAAAGGCCGTCGGTGTACTCTTCCAAAAGGCGATTAAGTCTAGTGGTAAGTTTTTCTCCTTGTCCAAACTCTTCTCCAATAGCCAGCTCATCAGCATCAAGAAGCCGGTTTGTTATACTTGGCACACCAAGACGCTCAGCAGTTACATTTGGGACATTCGGGTGTACGTAAAAGTAGTCGATCTCTTCGTCGTCATTTTGTTCTCCATACATGCAGCTGTCTATGGGCTTAAGCCTAACACAGGAGTTGTCTTCTTGATAAGTTGGGATCAGGATGTCTCCTAGAAGCTCCTCGGATAACTCCTCCTCACTCGCCAACTCGTTCAAGATATTGACAGGTAACTGAAGATCCTGTTTCACTTCTGAAAGGCTCAGGACACTTCCACTGTCATGCTTCGCCTTTATCATTCTAAGAACCTGTACCATAACAGGTGGATCGCATTCCTCCTGCATGCCAAAGTACATAAATAGACGATTATGTGGCCTCATTTCTAAAGGAAGACACTGAATGTAAGGTGTGAGATCAATGGATGGTCTTTCAGCGAGTAAGTGGCTAGGTAAAGAAAATCCATCTCCATTCCATACCCAAGGAAAGACGTTGGTGGCGTCAAATGCCTCACCCACTTCATAGTAGTGCTCACGAAGAAACCTGTATATTTCGGTCAGCATCGCAATGTAATACGGTTTATGTTCTTGTGAATAGCACTTCACGGCAATTTCCAAATGCCGGACAACCTGGAGGACATGGGGTTCATTATCCCAGCCGAGAATTTGACTGATCGCTTCGGTTTTATCCACGTCAACAACAGGCATTACAGTTCCAATAAGGTTTACAAACTGGTGACTCTTTAATTCAACGGGCTTGTAAAATCGTTCGTTTTCTTTTTCTGGTTTCCAATATGGAAGGCTGGGAGGGTAATCAGAGGGCCGCTTTTCTTTCCTTGAAACCCAGGGAATAGTCCTCAACAAATTGCACAATGGTTGTCCGTTAATTAGGTCCAGCATCTTTTGTGGATCCTCGTTGAGAAAGTTCAAAATTCTTCCCGATTTCTGCTTTGATGATGGATGCTTGGGAAACTTACTTGCCACCATCGCACTTTGATAGAGGTCAGTCGCGGTGACGTCATCCTCGCCTTTCATTCCCATCTCATTAAGTACCACAAGTACCGAAGGGCCAGCGTATTTGGAGGAAGGGAACACATCCTCAAGGACGAATAGGGTTTTAATAATGGTGTTTCTGGGGTCAAAGAGTTCACAAGGCCTCACTCGCCCTTTCTTCCTGGAAACAAATGCCAAGTTCTGTAAAACCCTCTTGAAAGAGGTATTCTTGCGAATAGCACTCGCATGACGATCCAACACATGCTCCATCAGTTTGTCAATTTCTTCTTCGGAGTAGCATCCTCGCTCGATATCTGGAAATACAACCTGACAAAGCAGCTCGATGGGCGTTAGAATGTTAACTCCAAGGAGACGTGCAAACACCATTGAATCGTTTTGAGAAACATCGATGAGGTCTCTTCTCAGTGTAATTGGGAGTGGCTCAGGGGGTGCTGCACACAGAAGTTCCTTTGCTGACACGAACTTCCTCGAAAAAGTCTCAAAAACCGGTAGAGAGCGCAGAACATCATACTCCACGTGACCCAAGTGTGGATCTTTAACGTTAGCCAAAAACATTCTTAGGAGACGTTTTTCCTTGGTCGAAAGTGCAACGCGTACAATCTCGGGAAGTTTTCCGCCAGTCATCATACTTGAGGAAACCACCATTGCTTTCAAAACCCCTTGAACGGATGGTGGATATACGAATCTTCCTAAAACGGCTGGATGGTGGCTAATGAATGAGGGATAATCGGTCATGATCAGCACACCAAGCTTGATGAGAATATCTGATAAACTTTCGTCTAAGCAATTACCATGAAGGTGTTTGACAACTAGGCTGGAAGGTTCACTAAGTCGCGCCAATGTGACTGGTGTCTTTGACATGCTTAGTGGAAGCAGAGGTAGTTTACCGAGGCTAAGAACATCACCTGCATTGGCAAAATAATTCTGCAAATATCTCCACACGACCCTGATCCACCCTTTGGGTGGATGGTTATAACTTGGATCGTCAGGGTACCACGAGACGGTGTTTCCCTTGCTCCACTCCATCGGCAGTGCTTGAGGAAGAAGAGCTCTTACATCATCTGTGCGGAGTATTCGTAACTGTGTGGATCCTGAAAGAAAGTTAGAAGTATAAAGCTGACTGCTTCGTTTGTGAAAAACCAGCGAAAAAAGAATTATATTGGGCATCCAATGTTAAAAAACGTTAGTATAATTCAAGAAAAGAAATTAAACCAAGCTAAACATCAGACGAACAACATTCGCATGTTTAATCGCCGACCAGGTTTAAAATCAAGAACTATCAAATGAGAAAGTCATTTTACCTTGCTTTCCTGCGGATACAAGCCTCTGAGTGATTGTCTCATCAATCGTTTCATCCAAGAAACGATGTTCTAGTCCAGGAAAAAGTTCTTGAGGATGTTCCGCTGAGCAGATGTACACAGCTTTCGATTGACTAGTGAATTTGATGAAGTTCCCGTTGGAAAGAGGCAAAAGCTCCAAATCACAAAGCGAATCAAATTTGCCATCTTTCAGGCAATAATTAAGGAGCAAAAGTTTTTCATGCCTATCAAGGTTCTTGTAACATGACGGACATTTCTTCATGGTCGATCTCACCAGGCTGGGTTTGACTTCCTTGACAGTGGTAAAGTGAGTAATGGCCGTGATGACGTGTTTTGGTACAGAAACAACAGGCACAGCAGCTGCCAGCAATAGTCGAAGAAGCACTTCTTTGGTTTCACTTTTATCGAGTTGGTCGAAAATACCTTCTTCCACTGTAATCCAGCGTCGGGAACCTGCATCGGTGTAAACAATATTCTGCTGTAAAAGTGTGCTAAAAAAAGGCTTGATGAGCTTCGTCCACTTCTGGTCAATGCAGGCAATGTCTGGCCATGCTCTACAAGACAACAACCGAGGTATCTTGATTATGTTGGATTTAAAACAATACGGTTATCGCTAGAAAACATATAAAACTTAAATTTCTTCCTAATAAACTTCAACGACACATGTTCATCTTATACTGAAGGTCACCTGTTGTTTTTGCTTTATAGTCTGAGATCAGAAGAAAACTATTTAAATTACTTTCAGTTTGAAAAAAAAATCAAAAAAGTACGAGGCTCTGAGAATCCTTCATAGACAAGAATTCCTTACGCACACAGGTTTGTCTGAGGCTAGCACCTTGTTATTAACCATGACTTTCTGGCTTCATTTAGCTCAAGAACATTCCTTGTCATTGATTTGATAGAAGTTACCCCTTACTTGTAAATTGATGATCTTGGTAGAAAACATGACTCCCATTGTATAGCTTGCAAGATCAGGGTGGCATATGCCTTGGGTGTGGCCTCCTCTAGAAGACACTTATTCCACAACAGTGACTTATCTGTCAGTTGCCGCCGACTCATCCGTTCTCGCTCTTCTTGATCTGCATTTGGAGACTTAATATAACGTCTGTTTTGACTCAAAGCGAAGAAACCATTAATGTGTACTGGCAGACCTGTCAGGCTCCTCGTTGGAACTGGTAATGGCAAAAAACAAAACACGTGGCCTTTGATATCTGGTGTCTGCATTTTAGGATCATTAGGCAATGGCATGGCAACACCGACTATGGGTAGGTAGTTTAGCTCTTTATCTGTCATCAACCGTTTGAAGTTCAAAGAAACTTGTCCTCCACAAAAGTAGTTGGTGACGAGAAAGGAGTACTGCTGCAGAGGGTCCGTTTCATGAGATGCACCGAATTTTATTGTCTCTATGGTGATTGGATAAGTCACTGCAACAGACTGGGACATCAGTTCCCCGGGCCTGATCTTTCCGAGGAACTCCTTCCTCTTAGAGCGAACTAATTCCAGGTATTTGTCCGAAACTCTAACCTGAAAGGTTCTTCTAGGGCTAGTCTGTGACTCTTCTCGGACATAGAGTTCAATCGATTCCAAGTGTTGAAGAAATAGAAGAACCAAGTGAGCATCAGCTTCAAAACTGTCAAACAAAGTCTCCACTTTATCCTCGGTGTAAAGTGTATTCGATAGATCAGAGGGTGTGGTCCTCAGCGGGAAACGGAACAGGGTGCCATCGTAGTAACCGTTGGAAAATACTTGTTCGGTACAGTCGAAGATTCCTTTGAAAGGGAGAAACTGATCCGGTATTTTGTCCATCTCCGCAGAATCGTCATCAAGTCTCCAGCATCTGCCGGTTCTTCTGTTCCGTTTGTCAGAGAAGTAAATTCCATGAGGGTCAATGAATCCAATTTTCTCAGCGCTGAGCACACTTGGTAAATCTTCACGAAAAGAAAACTTCATGTCAGCTGTAATACTTTACTACCGAGTATATTGCTATACATTTGATTTCCGTATATCAGCAATGTCAAATAAGTACAAAGTGGCTCTAGAATAAAATGAAGTCATAATTTTAATGTAAAAATAGTATAAACTATACAAGGCGTATTAATGAGCAATTTTATCGATAACATTGTAGTCGAAATCCACAAAATCCGAGAAATTCGCACCTTTACTGGCGATTCGCTAAAAGCCAATGTATATAAAGAAGTTAAATCTACAGAACTGGAAAGCAAAACGAAATACAAATAAAACAGGCGAAGTAACGAAACTTACAAGATTATGTGGCGACTATGGCGGCTAAAACATAATGACAACGGCGACAAGAAAACTACGGTAGAAGAAGCTTTACCAAACAATAGGAACAATGCATAAAAAATGAACACGAAAATATGAAATGTGACGTAACCTAAATAACTGGCAAACCTAATGAAATAACAAATATACACGGAACAACTGAAAACGGAAAACAATGTACAAAGGACGTGAATGCAAAACAAAGGTGAGACGCCTTGACTACAAACATGGTTACAACTGTTTATTTTGTGTTGGAGTGGTCACAGTAGTGTGGAAAGATGCCATTACAGGATGTATATGAAAGCTACCAGCAAACCGCATCAATTGAAGTACCGTGGCAGAGATGTCCTGCTCATTTCTTCATTTATGATACATCCACATTAGTACCCATTATGAATTACCTGTCATATGCAGTACCGACTTAAAGCCCAAGCCGAACCGACCAACTTTCATGGGGTCTTCCACTTTGATACTATTGCTAACTAGACGTATTCCTTTCCAGTCTTCTTTCCTAAACTTCGCGTCGTTGTGTGAAAAAAGTGCTGGACCCTTTGAAGAAAATCGTGGAGAGGGATAAGGACTTAATCATAGCAACAATGTAAATTCAAAGACTATAGCCCATCTGCTAGTGCATTGGTTTCATGGTCGAAAGGTCTGGGTTTCTAGACCTGGACGAATATTTATATTGATTTCTCTGAGAAAACGCTTCATTTTTACAGTAACTCTCTCCATCTTATAAACGGGGACAGGTAATATTCCTAGTTGCTTACCGCCACGGAAACCAGAACAAATTTTAATTCAAATTTTCTTCTTCGCCAGACAGATTTTTAACATCTGTCCACCGTGGTTTTACCGGTTACTCCCCTTGACATTAATAATAACTACTAGAATGCTTTTAGACCTCTAAACCAAGTTTTTTTGTCGTAAAACATGAAATTTGCTTCATATAGTTTTTTAGTTCATTGAGATGAGATAGTTTCTTTCCTAAAGTCATATTAACAGATAACCAGTAATCACCTGAAATTGTGAGAGCTCCTCATCATATAGATGTTCAGTTCCAAAACTGTTTTTGTCATGCAAAAACTTAACGTGACTGGCATTCGCATCCTCTGCATTTTGAATGAGTTCCTGATGGAGAAAAGCATGTTAAAATTGTGCCATGTGAGACCAACGTCAAAGGCAAAATTGAGTTTAAACTAAACATGGAAAACTTACGTGGAACAAAAAATAACAGAATGAAAGGGGAAATGGCGGTAACTATTCACCACTTTCACCGACACCGAGGTGAATAATTATCGAAATATTATATAGGTATACACCAATAATAAACAGAAACCAAGAATTAAGTTTATTTCATACCGAAAAAAGAGTCCGAAATCAATTGTTTTCACCAAAATCCGTTTCTTTCCCATGTATTTAAACGGAGTGCTTTGAACAAAGCTTTTTCCAGAGTACTTAATTCACCGCCGCAACTCTTGTGTAAATTTGTAACATATTTATATATACATATTTTGAGTTAGGAAAATACAAAGACTACACTTTTATCCCCACCAGCCTATTTCCTCTCTTTGAAGCAAGCTTGTGGGGTTGAAATTGTATTCCTTATATTTTCCTGACTCAACATATATCTTGTCTACTCTCCTGTATCGAACATTGTAATACGGAAAAATCATGTGTCTATGTATATGTGTGCTTTCGTCACCTTCAATATCTGTCCATCATCTGGGTACTGATCAAGGATGGTCCTCAGCTGATGGATCAGCGATGGCTGAATCAAGCTGAAGTCCCCATCATCAGCTTCCAAGCAACAAACAACGAGAACACACGAATTAACACCAACAACCTGGCAGACAAACCTTTCTTTGAATTTAGGGAGTTTTTTGTTTAATTCAGATGGTTTATCTCAGCCAAGGGCTTCTTTTGGTTAATACGTTATGAAACATATACCTACCCATCTTTGTGACCTCAGGCTTTTACACTTTTAGCCCACGTATCTAAGGAAAAAGTAGAGGCAATAACTAAATATCTAACCTTTTAAAAGGGATAACCATATGGCTGCAAATGCGAAAAGGTCATTGTGTTTCGCAAACAAGCTTTATCTGAAACAGGAGCTTGTCACTGTTAGTTGTGATGTTCCAAGCTCGTCAGACAACAAGAATTTCAGTCAGAACAGCAAAAAGGTAATTGAACGTTTACTGGAGGATGATGTATCGACAAAAACGAAATCTATCCGCCATTTGCAACAGTGCTGTAAACGTACAGGGACTTTAATGAGCTCAAACGAGGGGAGTTAATAAAAATCTTAAAACTAAGCAAGACCCAATCGTTTGGAGAAATGAACTCACACAAATAACTAACTATAGCTTGGTATGAAAATAATGCTCCTGTCATCTGAGTCCGATCTTATGGTTGTACAAATTTTTTAAACCGATGCCATAAACGCCGATTTATTTCATTTCCAGTTTTTATCAAGAACCTTTTAAACAAATAAGACCGAAACATTTTGAAGAAATTAATATCAACGGATTGCCACCCCCATGAAAGACATCATTCCTGACCAAAAGACTTATGTACACAATCTTAGGGAAAAAAAGGCTGCGCACGCCCGAAAATTGATACACAGCGCTTTATGAACACCTTTGTAAATAGGTAGGTTGATATTTAAGCTCCATTTATTGTAATGACATACCTTTTAACTCATATTATGTATATAGATTTCTATTGTAGTTTTTTCCGAATTCATTGTATAAGATATGTAGTTTTATCTTAAGATGAAATAAAGACTTTACATTTTATTGATTTCTTATTTATGTTATCACGCTGCTCAATATGAAAACACCTAAAATTAAAATCACAAGTAGATTTCTGATAACTTAAGAATGAGATTGCAAAATGTTCGCATGTACCGTGATATTTTCTCACCAAAGAATGTTAAAAAAACTGATCGTGTGCAGGTACTTTCCTTTCAATTGCCTAAAAAACCATTTTGATCGTTTGTTATGGCAGAAACCAAAAAACAACATAAACTTAAAATGCTCCGCTACCATCTTTAATACAGCCACAGGAGCTTCAACTGAAACAGTACAAGGTATTCATGGTAATTAACGGCGATCCCAAGGTTAAACTATGCAAGAACTTTCGTTTTGATGTCCTACAATAAGTTCTTGATCGTTTGCTTTGTTAGGAACCGAAGAACAACACAAACTTTAAATGCACTGCTACGAACTTTATCTAGCTAGTTGAGCTTGAGCTGTAACAGTACAGGGTGTCCACGGTCATGCACGGCGATCCCAAGGTTAAACTATGCTGCACGAAGGTTGAACAAGTTTTTCTAACGAAAACGCCATTAACAAGATGAATCTGTGCATTGCAGAATTGCGCACAGCGTTAAATTGTAATAGATTTAATCAACAAGGCTTGACTGGCTTAATTTATTATATATTCTACAAATTAGGAGAACATTGTTCAAGCCTGCACATATTACAACTAAAGGAGACTACTACTGGACCTGACGAATGGGAAAGATGATAGGCCAAGATTACTTACCTTGATCGTTCTGAAGTAACCGCAGAATATCGATATCAACTTGCCGTAGCTTCATCCAGCCATTGAAAGATCTGAAAACAAACAATAGACAAACAAACCAGCTCAGTTCAGAAATTAGGAATTCAAATTGAAATACCTCGAGCAACACTCGAAAACTCAGCAGAAAACAACTGAGAATTTTCCAAGCTGAAGATGAAAGCGTAGTATACACAATACTTTGTCGACAGTCATTTAAAAAGCTTCTTCGCAGACGCAAACTAGAATACGTTGAGAAATTTCAGCAGGCGGTAAATACTTCCAAAAAACTTGACACCAGTTAATAGAAATTTCTGAGGGAGGCTACTTAAGGTTCAGAACTTCGCAAATTGTCACGCTAGTATTCCAGCTACATTTACGAAAATGTTTGAGAAGCAATAAGAAACTGGCTAAAAAGATACTGAAGGAGACTAAGAAATCTGCTGCTTCTGTTGGAAAGAAAACTCTGGAATACTGCACTGCAGGATTCTTACAGATCACTCAGTCGATATTGTGATAAATTCTGCACTAATCTTAAGTGCCTTCCGGTTTTGAAGTATTTCATGTCTGGCCAACAAGAAAATAGAAATCAGCAACAACTTGAAGCATTCAGGGATTGGGCACAACCTCAACAGAAAACCTTTAAAAATGTTTCCCTGCAAAATTTAAACTGAATTAAAACCTTATCAGGCTTAATCACTGCAATACATGCAAAGTGCAATCTTTTGAATGCCTGAGCTGCAATTCTCAACTGGTGAAATAATGAAAGAGAAGATGATAATTCTATCAAAAAAGTTAGATCTTTGATCATAAAGCAAACACCAGGCAATGACAAAAGCAAGACTGTTTATTTAATCTAAACACACCGAGTAAATTTTAGCGGTTTTACCTTGCATAGAATTAATAATATTTGTAAATTAACTGAGTGACCAATTCAGTTAGATCATACCATGCCGCCACATCATGCCACAACAAGCGGGAAAACTGTAGAACAGTTTTCCCGCTTGTTGCCTGCACCAAGCAAAAGTTATGTTAAGATCATTTCGCTAGTAAATATGCGACATTAATTTTGGACTCGTTTAAATTTGTTCGAATGAAATGAAAACTCCTTTAACCCAGCTAATCAACGACTGAAATAAATACATCCGGCTTTCCAGGAATTGTTAAAAATTCTTGCCTTTCTTTCTGAAGCAATTTTCCGGTCGGTTAGATCTTTCCGAGAAAACTAAATATATCTGCAAACTAAAATTTGATACAATAACACAATGACACGAAAGAGGAAAAAAGCAATTTTTTTAAACAACAACTGAGGCAAAATCAGCAAATAGTCCAAAATGTTTTGATATATCACCCAAGGTAATACTTAAAGATATAGTGATTTTTACTTTGATATACCGTTAGGTAAGGCATTTTCCCTTCCTCTCTTTCATTATATGGACGTTAAGCACGTTATCTAAAGAGACTTTCATATTTGTGATGAGCATTTATTCGAAATCATTCCATTCTTAAACAAGGTGATCACACACTGCAAATGCAAAGCACTGCATCATTGCGTTATCGCGGTACATTTACTCTTTGAAACGTTGCCGTTTCAGCTTTAGAACTGTTCAATACCAGCTGTAACATATATTCTTAGAACGTTGCCCAACTTCCGAGAAACCGTCGTATGGCATTTAGGTTCGTCATGCATAGCACCTCGATGTCGAAATTCAAGCACAAAAATTCGATATCAGTACCTTAACGTGGTTATTCTCTGATCGCTAGGAAATGTTTTCGAGATGTTCGCAGTCCGCAACCCGCCTAAGGAGGTTCTTGTCTATCTTAACGATTGGCCGGTCGATTCTCGGCGACAAATTTGCAATATTTTAAGTGGCACACAGGCGGCTTTTCGTGGCTTCAGGGATCGCAATGGTGGTACCCGATTTTATCTTAGGTAAAACATGTTTCAAATCTTACTTACTTTGCTCTTCTTTCAAACGCTTCGAAGCCGTTTTTATCCGTTAGATAGCAACCAATTCATCTCCAATTACATCCCACGAGGGGGAATTTAAATAAACACAACCTTTTCTGAGAAAACGGGGATTAGATAAAAAAGCAAACAAACAAAGCTTGAGATTCTAGGAAAAATCAGCTGCAACTTCCGGTACTGTCGTTCGCCTAAGGGAGGAAAGAAGGGGTACATCTCGGAAAATCTTGGTAGGAATTTATCTTTAGGTTCTTCATTTTAGACCAAACAACTGTTCCTGTTCTTGGACCTGCCCTTTGAATCCATACTCGTCTTCAAACCTAACGTTTGAACGTTCCACTTGGTCTATGACGTGATTATGATTTGATCAAGTGAAGCGTTCGTAAGCTTTGCCGAAGCCAAGAATAAAACTCACACAACAATAATATTCGTCCGCTTGCGAATGACATACTTTTTTCATTTTTTACACTATTATTCATCGGGCGTAGGCGAGACAGACTCGCTAATGGGTTCCCGTGGTTTCCTGGAGGATCATTTTTCTTTAACGACCTTAATGATCAAACTGTATACCCGTTTTCTGAATAACTCTTTGGAGGTATGCTCATATGTATAGACAGATAAAACTTGTGCAAGGAAGTGCTCCTCCTTTTCCCTCCACCGGGCATCGTAATATTATATAATTTATACATATACGGTATTTCGATGACAGCCGACTGACAGAGGAAACTAAAATGATAGGCAAATTTCGTTTAACGTTCGATTAAAGAGAAATGAACGGCAGCAGTGTAAAAGCTCCAACAAACCATTGCTAAAGAATATGACCTTTGCTGTACTAAGATCATACGATTATCTATCAAGTTCTGCATGTATAATTGATTCTGATATCTGAAAACGCTAAAAACTTTCATTTTAGCATGTCATCTATCCGACAATGGTCATCAAAAGCGCAGAATAATCTCTAACAGTACGGAATCAAGCTTAACACAAATAAATGAAGCAAATCATTTTCTATTTGCGAGCCGATTCCTCAGCACGAGCAAAGATCTTTCTTAAAAATTTTCTCGAACCGATTTCAACATGCGATCTCGTAGCTTATTTGCTGTTAGAGCCGAACTTTTAAGTGTAAGGAACGAGTCGTAACCGATCGAAGTTCGAGTATTTAGGTTCCTTTCTGAACAGTTTCTTCAACTGCATTTCGCACGTGGGGAACAGTCCGGTATTCTTTTGAATCAAGCCCAACTTACAATGTTCTTATATCTGACTAAGCCTCCCTGACAAAATATTAGAAGTCGTTATCTCGAAATTCTGTTGTTAACATAACAGAAAGGTCTAACAAGAACTTGTAGAACTCTTGAGAGTGGCCATATAACCAGAATGTTTTGAGAACAGTCCAGTGAAAGCTTTCAAACAGCTTTGCTTCGCACAAAGGACTATCAGCTTGATCAGCCGTTGGCATTTTTGGGAACTAGTTATCATATATAGATTGTCCTCTAGACCTAACGTATGGTAAAGTTATTAATGTTGTTCGTAAAGGGAAACCTACTGGTAAAGGGTATACAATACCACTCATACTGCGAAGACTAAATTCTTCCGTCAAAAATTTGAATCCCTTGAGTTTGCAGAGGGACCCGGTATAAGGAAAACTGCTCAAAAATCTAATGGCCACACTGAAATTTCGATGAACGTTTACTTAACCACTTTCCTGCCGGAAATCGCTTTGGTATTAGAGGTAGCTGTTGTGAAATCTTAGTCTTAAGGTGAATTTTTTCCGCTTAGTTGCACGTTGATTTCCTTAAATCAAGATGCTTCTAGTCGCTTACTTATGTTTCTTGTTGAATGAATTATTGCAGTGAAAATGCATGCATACTTCGTTATACCTGCTTATTAATCAATCTTCTTTTGTGAATCTAGTTAGTCATCGTGCGCATTCTTATTTCATAACAAGACTAGACATACAACAAGGTGAAAAAACACTGCAAAACGTAGTAAATAGTTAAAAGAACATGGCCGATAATAGAACAATACCGTTTGCATCTAATGGATCGAAAGCATTCATCTGGACTGCGTTCAAATATCATAAAACAATGTTAGTGGTAGTTCGTAACCTTCGCACCGCTGTAGTCGTCCCCTTCAGCGCACAGACTGGTCAGGAAAATCTAGTCGTACTTTTCTTTGTGATTTATTTTGCTACAAACAAGTGTTTCACCTATCTAAGAACTCCTTTCTGACCAAACAATAATCAAAACAGATTAATTTTGCAACGATTCGTCTTCATCATGTTCCATTTTAGCTTCAAAACATGCTGGTGTTCTGAAGTGATTAGCAATAGAAGCAACACATTTGGTTAATTGTTGGCATTTTCAAATCACTTTCATTCTTCTAGCTCAAATCTAGGTGCATGTGTAATACTGATCTAATTTGACATGGCGTCACTTAGCTTAAATACCTTAGCTTAAAGTTATGTCGGCAAACAACCTGATTTCGCAGCATAGAAAATTCTCCATACCACAATTCGTAGCCATGTCCTCATTTTACTCACCTTTGTATTAAAACGGACGGTCCCAGCTGACGTTTCAACGATTTAGGAAAATGTTTCGTTTGGATAAAGAACAAAGACCTCCTTCGAGAGTAGTGTATAGTTCTCAGAAATTCTTGGGTGGTTTCCGACAGTAGCTTTCTGGGAAAACACGTTCATTTGCATTTCACGTGATCATCACCAATTCAAGATGGCGGATATCGGGAAGTGACTGTAGTTTGTCTTGACACGGAGTTCAAGAAAATCACTGCCTATCCATTACTGATACGTTCCCCATAAAATATGGTTAAATGTGGATACAAGAAACATTCCTGGATATATATATCGTCTTCTACTTAAGAAACTTCCCAAAATCAAGCTGTGTAACCCCCCCACCGAGAAACTGGGGAGTGAAAGTAAACCCCCTTTGCGGCGTTTACCTTTATCTCATCAATTTCAAGTCCTCAGTGATCAAACCCCTTCCGAACAGAAATGTTGTCTCTAGCAGAACTATGCTGCTTTTAGGTTTAGAACGGACCGTGAAATATGGAAAAGATGTCTTTTCAATGCAGAAACACATCTTTTTAACTTATCATTCCAAATACAAAGTTGATATAGCCCACGGAAAAAGATGCCCTGAAAAGGCTAAAGTTAAAAATTATTTAACCTTTGCTTAAACGCGACCTGATACATGTAACTAAACCAGATCAAACTAGACCCCGGCCCTCCCTCCGACTCCTTGGGTCCAAGATGATTACCTATTAACCCCCCCTTCCCCCACCCTACTCCCTTAAGAAAAAAATAAAGAGCATTAACTAAAAAAAAGGGGTTTTACCCAAAGAGAACAACGTGAAACGCACTAAAGGCGGACGACAACGTTGTGTTTATACAAAGCCAAAATTGGGTTATATTCGCGCATTTTTTCAATTTAGAAAAATTAGTTTGAATTATAACACATGAGAAAACGAATCCTTTCGTTACAGAATGTTGATATACAATGCTGCAATTTTTATTTTGTGATGATTAGTCATATAACGTCTGTAAGACTTAAATGATGGCTGTTTTTACTTATTAGATGAAACTAGCTGATCACTGAAAGTCCTAAGGGTATGCGTTTCAAGCTTTACCTGGCTTTACATAATTAGAGTTCTCAATGAAAGAAAAATACATACATCACATAATAGCTCAAAACGTTGCTGAACTAGACAATTGTAATGATTACGGCAATCGTTTAGGTAGGAAAATGATAAACTACGAAAAACCCTGTGCACTGATTTTTGAGAAGTTGCTGTAGAAGAGGGACCAATTGAAGAAACCATGTGAAGTCCTGAATGATGCGCGCACTGTTTCACGACATAACAAACCAACCAACTTCTTAAAACAAAACTGCCAAAAACCGCAATAATATTATTATTAATAAACTTATATGAATTAAGTACATTTATAATAACTCAAGTTTTCTTTGCTTTGAATTAACAATACTTCAGCCGTGCTGCTAAAAGCCATTTCTATTCTACATAATCACTGACTATACCGTGATTTAACAAGCAAAACAACAGAGGAAAAACTTGTCATGAGCCTTCTCAAGAACGGTTTTTCTCCTTGGTAAACAATACATGACTGGAAACTAACTCTTGCCCAATAACTGTTTCGTTTTTTATGGGTAATGGAAGGAAAAATGAATAACGCCCTCTAGCTTAGTATCGAAATAAATGAAAACCTATACTGTTGCAAATACGCTTTATCTAAACTGCTTATTCGTACTTCTTTTCTTAAGTGAGACTTCCCAATCTCAATTATCTCAAGTTTTACTTGCAACAAACAACATGGTTGCAATGACAACATAGCACTTGGCTACATGATACATCAGGAAAAAAAACAAAAATTATCTTATTCTTTGACCTTCTAAATCATGATTCTTTCAATACCTGGAAAGCTACAATTAATAACGTTTACCGAATCAACGTCCAATAAAAAAATTATTACTTTGCTTCACTATGAAATAATACTGATTGTTACTAATTACTGTTATTTTAAAATACACGTTAGATTTAACATCTACGAATAACTGATTGATACAACAGGACACTCTCCTTTGAGTCTTCTTCCTCGCACCAAAGATTTCGTCTTACCCCTGTAAAATTCAGCAAATTAGTGAACTTCAGTAAAACAGGTAAATATGCGAAGACACTGCTTAAAATTCGCTCAATAATGTTTAATACAATCTGTTTTAATCAGAGCATCAGGTATTTTTGCTTTCTTGTTTAGTTTGTTTGTTTTCTTTCTTCCTATTTTTTCTCACGATTTTTTGTGACATATTTTCACGGAGGTTAAATTGAAGAAGGCGTTACTCTGTATTAAAAACAAATGATCCTACGATCCCAAGAAGGGACTTGGGCCGTTATCCCCTCTGAAGTCCTCCTCAATTGATCATTCATATCGATATCTAGCAAGTAGTCCGTCATCTTTTATGAGATGCATGTTCTCTCTAGACTCTCAGACTTAACTCTCTTCTTAATGTCACTCCGATCTTTATCGCATAGCAAACTACAGAATTCCTCTGTACCCAATTTATGAATAGTTCTTCCCGTATTCATTTATATGCGACAGATCAATTGTGTAGAATGCTTGTTTACCTAAAAAACACTAATATCTCCCTTTATCTCGTACGCACCTTAAATATCTTGTATCTTGGTTTTTACTCGTGTGACAATTTCTGTGGCGAGTTGCAACGCTCTCTGAGCTTCCCGGGACGAATAAACTTCGTTGGGGATTTGGGGAGGCCAAATACAATCTGGATAACGCATTCGTGCAGAGCTACCAACAAGATTCTCTAACTGGCTTGCGAAGTTGGCTATCTCAGCGTCATTTAAGCCGTCACAATTCCTAATAAGGTTGTGATCATTTGTCTTCTCAGCATGTAATGTATACTTAGCCGCCTTCAATGCCTTTTCTGCCGCCTATGGTAAATAAATCATTTTACCAGCTTCAGTGGTTGACATGTCATGTCAATATGTCACCGAAGAAAAACAAAACGCTTTAACGCGCAAGAGAATGGCGAAGACCCGCAGTTGTCAAATGCTCAGGCATCAAGCCTTAGGCTCTACCAATGCCATTGGAAAAAGTTCTTAACCAAATCACACTTACTCAAATAAATCCTTTTCCACCTCACAGGGTGATTTTGGGGCCACCAAAATTAGGAAGCAAAAACAAATTTGCTAAAAAAGGCATACCTCTTTTGATATTTGCGTCTTGAACGACTTAATTATTTTCTTTTCGTTTTCCTAAATATCTACGTATATTTTTAGGTTCTTACAATTTTACTGAGCCACCATAGTTTTACCTGATGACATTTAAAGCAGGCCCACTCATAGGAGGGTTGGTCAGAGTCAATTTCATTTTCTCCAGCCACCAGGTCAGCTTCAGCTTGCTTGTACCAACGCTTTGCTTCTCCAAGTTGAGGATTGCTCTTTGAAAAACTGGGAGGGACATTTATCCATGGCTTGCGATTTGATGAGTGCCCTTGGGATGTATACAGCTGTAAAACTTTTTCTTGGTATACCACTCGATGTGATCTGTGTTCCTTAGCCACCTCCACACAGGCGTCGATAAATTCCTCGTACGATCCACCAAGACGCAACATTTCATCCCTTATATGCTTAGAAACTTCAAAGCAGAACTCTTCATCGCCTACATTCTTCTCCGGACGCCACTGAAGAATAATTCGCTTGAGAATTTGTTTTCTTTCACCTTCTAGTAAATCACATTCCCATGCTTTTTCCAAAGTGGTCGAGATTTGAAGGAGGACCTCTTCTCGATCTTCCCTATTTCTGCGTCGCGCATTAGATATTTCTTCAAAACGACAAAATTTGTACAATTTGGCAGCAGTCACCTTCACTGGCTCGTGTTCATGTCCAATGTTGACTGAGTACACCTTTGTAACGAGACGCAGAAACCAGTCTTCGTCACAGATAACATCCTTAGCCAAAACCTCTTCGATAATCACAGCGTAGATGAACGTAGCAACGCCTTTGTCTAGCTGAAGACTCGGGTCGTGAAGCTGATAACCAACATATTCCCCGGGTTCAAAGTCGCTAAAGGCATCATTCAGTAGATGATGGTCCACAATTGGAATGAAACTTCCCGGGTCAGGAAAGATATCCATTCCATCTACACTGCAGGTGTCGTCTTGTCGAATGCCCGATTTATCAAGTAGGGACCAGATGTCACCAAGAGCGCATTGCAACATACTGGGGATTAAAAAGGCGCTCTTTCCAAGAAGGTCACCATACATGTCTATAACAACGCCCGAAACCAAAGACCTGGCCAACTCGATATCATTAGTCACATTTACCACGTTAACGTAAACCATGCATTTCTCCTCACCGGAAATCTCAGATTTTTCTTGGAATGACTTCATCTCTTTTTCACTTCCCGGGATTAAGTCGTCATCTAGGAAAAGGGCCGTTTTAAGACCATCCACGGCGCACAACTGAATTCTTTTGAGACTTTCTTCGATATCAGCGATAACCTCTTCATCGAAATCTGGCTTTTGAGAGTTGTCGTGCTTAATAATTCTGGCAATTCCCTGACGAAACTGTGGGGTGCAAAGTCGCAGCATCAATGAGTCGAAAATTAAGCTCTGAACTAAGTCACCATCAGTGAGCTTTTCACTCACCACAACTGAGAGCATCTTTGGTTGTAAATGTGGAGGAAGTTTCATCATCAACTCTTTAAAGTTGGTCATGGTTAGTGTTAATATAACTTCCATAAGCTTGAGATCAAGTACAAAATGCTGGTGGAGCTCTTTGATTCGATCCTCGTAGTCAGGTTTATCACTAAATACTAACTCGGAAGACTTCTGTAAAGTGACAGAAATTTTATTTAAATTGCTTTCCAAGCAGCGGATTCCTGAGGGCATTGCTGGTAGGTACAATGTGGACAATGTGGACAATGTGGAAGCTTCGTCGGCCTTCTCCTGTAGCGTTTTAAACAATCCCTTTACTGCCTTGCAGCACACTTTCAGCTCATTAGGATGCAGTTTGGCGCCACAACATTTCTTTCGCAACTTTTCCAATACCACAGCGTAGTGGGTACATGTAACAAACTCGTAACATCCCAGGGCTTGAAACAATTTTCGGAATTTGCCAAGCTCAGGAGGAATTCTATAAAGAAAAGGCTTAATTTCTTCTCTCGCCTGAAGTTCGACAACCGCTTCACTTGGCCTAACGAACTTCGTACCATTCTCAACCAATATGCAGGGTGTAACTTCAAGGACGATTGCATCCCTTACGTTTTTATTACCTTGTAAAAACTTGTAGATTTCTTCCATGATGTTCGTAATCTGGAGATTATGTTCATGTAAGTCAAACTTGCATTTGTGGGGGTTTTCCAGATGACGACATAAGACTTCGCAGTGTCGAACAACCATATCTATCAGTGGCTCCTTAATTATTTGAAGTTGCGAAAGAAAAGCATCACAGTACTTGCCGACAGAGGCGAGCGGGGGTAAACCAAATTCATACCGACGGTACTCTGGATTCGCCCAGCTTGGAAGCAAGCGGGCTTGGGTCCAAACGATTTCTTCATATTCAGCAAAAACTGCTCCTTTGAACGGAATGTAAGGAGTTTGATCTCCTTTCTTTTGATTAAAAGCTGGACATAACATTTGCAATGGCTCAGCGACGGGATCGGCTGCGATAAAGGCGATATCGCAGATTGCTTTCAATAAGCCCTCCCCGACTACATCAGGTCGAGACATGAGATGGTCAACCAGAATTCTAGACTTCTCGCCAGTTTTCTCCGTTTGTGCTGTAAGTGCTTCGCACTCCACTTCCTTTGCAAATCTCTTAAAATCAAAGGAAGATACCTCAGAAACCAAGCCTACTTGTTTCAAAAACGAAATCCATTCGGGAGAGTCAAACGGTTCTGGTGGGAAATCGCATGAAAGCATGGCCTTGAAAACATCGTTATTGGGATCGTACATACATGATGCCGTCTTCAGGGTACCATTTTCTGAGGGAATCAGAGGTGTATGTTTCAAGATGTCGAGTAACCTTTCTTTCTCTTCATCATCAACAGTGGAATCTGCCAAAATGGTGTCACGAATATATTCAAGATGAACTTGTCTTGCCTCCTCACTTACAATATGAAAACCATGCAAAATCGAGTCACAGTACACGTCGATGGCAGAGATGCACTTAAGTTCCATGAATGTAAACAAATCGGAGACATTTTTCCATGATTTCACAAATACCATCCCCAATTCACGCTCCAGAACATCAATTCCATTTTGCGGTACCCCAGCTGGTAAGGCAGACACCTAGACCTTGTCGAGTGAAATGAAGCCACCGTTAGTTGCAAGGAAAAAGGGAAGCTTCCGGAGGTTGCTTTTGTCAGTTTCTCGAAGGCAGGTTACACTTCTACAAAAATACTCCAAGATCTCCTCACAGTCGGATTTCTCTAATCTTCCTCTTATTTCTTGTTTATTTAAAATCAACTTTTGTCTAAGTGATTCAAGGAGTGACGAGGGGTCCTTCAGAGAAGATACCAGCAAAAGAGCTAAAACTAGTGAGGTCGAGGATGAATACATAATGGTTGCCGAAATTGTGCGTGAAATAGCATTCTGGTTAAGTTCGGGGATACCAAGTTTACGCAAAACTTTTACTAGTTTCGCACTTGCCGCATCGGCGTTTGCCATGTTAATAGCTCCCTGTGCCCACCTCAAGGGCACAAGAAAGTGATCATCTTGACGAAGGACTCGAAAGCTTCGTGTTTGAGTGACGGGAAGAATACTCCAGTCGAGAAGGGGACGAATGATGCCCTTTACCTGACGAACTTTGTCTTCACCATCAATTTCTTCGTCTTTTAAAACATCTCTTGTAATATCATAGAGGAATTCCCAAACCCTACATATCCATCGATGGTCTGGTATTATTTTCTGAGCTGGAGACCACTGAACATACTCGGATCTTCCATATATTTCCCGTGGTAACGTTTCAGGCAAATTGGCGGCAAATGTATCAGCATCCAACGGCTTTAAGGCGGGCGACTTTAATGTGTCAGCGGAAGAAATTATTCCTATGTACGCCTGTCCGTGAAGGAAAATTTGGGAAGAGCCGGGAAGAAGGTCTGCAAATCAGGACACAATATTAGGGCATACATTTGAAAATGATCGAAGTTAGTCGTCTTGGGTAAGAAGAAGTGGGAGGCCTGGAAGCTTGTCGAGAAAATTATCAGCCTCTTTACAGAACGTTAGTACGAGTGACACTCCACCATCATTTTCAAACACTGTTTTACTTACTTCACAAGGAATGGGTCCAATGGTGCATAAGGGATCGTCAGAACCAAACGTTCCGTAGAAGTCGATCAGATCACCAGCAGAGACGCAGGATGTAGCAACACCAGATCGCTGAAATGATTCGTGCACTTCCAAGGAAAAGGCAACAAGGTTGAAACCACTTTTTAGTAATATTCCTTCAAATTTCTGTCTTCGTTTCTTTCTGGCTTCTTCCTTATCCTTCTCAGGTGACTTGGCAAAGGGACCAGCTACTGCAAGGTTGTTGAAGAACGCCTTTTGTTTCCCCATACCAGTTGGTGGGAGCCACGTGACATCGACGAGGGATTTATCCCTTTGAGCGGAGCGTCGAACAACTGGCAGTAAAGTTAACTGCTTTTGATAGATTTCTTGATAAACAGAATAAACCAATGTCTCCCAGTACTGATCTGTCGCAGGTTTCCGAGGGAAAAGGCCCTCCAAAATACCTATGTTTCGCCAAACCTTATTCTCATTGGAGGGTTTTAGACCAAACCCCAGAAACCTCTGCACCTCAACCAGCATGTCAACGTAACAGGAGGCCACTACATCTTCCAATAAGGCATTGTTCCAGTCACTCCGGTATCCAACATGGCCAGCTTCGTCTCTCCACAGGTTTCTTCTTGACTCGTGGTCTAACGCAAAATGGCCATTGATGTGAACAGGAAGATTTGTTTCAAGGGGAAGGGGCAAAAAGCAGAAAGCTTTTTTTCTTCTTTGCGCAGGAAACTCCGGGTATTTATTGTACTTGTTTTCCAAAAGGCATGCAACGCCACCACGAGGAAGCATCCCGAGTTTCTGTTTCTCAAATGCATCAACAATAGAGCTTTTGACATTCCCCTGAAAACCAATCTGTTGAACAATTAGCCACTTTTCTTCGTTTCCATGGTTATCCATAATTTTCAGCATGTAGGAAACTTTAACAACAGGACTATCAGTTGGGAGAATTTCTCCTTGCTTAATGAGGTTTCCAAGCTCTTTGATGACCGCGGAAAACTTTTTTCTCTTTTCTTCGTCCTCCTCTGTTAAGGTAACTTCCACTGTGTAATCGTTTACCAACTTTCCGCTTTTATTCCCGACCTCACAAAGAGTAATTTTCTTGACGTTATCAACGAAAAGGAGAACTTCAAATAATTCTCTCTTCAGCTCATCCATCATTCTGTCCAGTTTTTTCAGGGGTACCGCACTTGACGAGATTTTGGAGTCCCTCGCCATTTCTTCACTTCGTAGAGGAAACCTGAAAATGGTTGCGTTATCTCCTGAAAAACGTTCTAGTTCTCCAAGATAACAGCGGAAAACATCTGGGAAATCCTTCTGGAGTTTTTCGCTGACTTTGAACATCCTTCCAGGTTTTTCAGGACTCGCACCAGGTGCATATCTGCAGTCTGGATCGAATATTAACAAAACATCTCCAACATCTCCTCCTTTTGAAATAAATGAGGGCGCATCAGTCAAGTGGTAAACAGCGTTGAAGCCCACCCCATACTCGCCAGTTTTACAAGGATCGCTCCCCTTGCTTCCTTCGCCAAGGTTCTGTATTCCTTTTATGTCGGCGTTTGTAAAGGGCTTGTTGTTGTAGACACACAACGCAGGACCTTGAAGTGGTTGCCAACTGTCTTCGAAGATCCTTTCCTTAGGGTGGTACCTGGGGTCTTTGATGAAGCAAATTTCAGTTGCCTGTGCGTCATCTGCATTTTGAACAAGTTCTTTTAAAATTTCTTTTTCGCAGGGATACTCCGTCAGAATACGACGAAGACGATTTGCAAGTTTCTCAGTTTGACCACAAGGCAGCCCTATTGTGTGAGATCGCAAAGCTTCCTCTCGACGTGTTTTAACTCCAAGCTGTTGACAGGATGGCCAAGGTATTCTATCGTTCACATAGTGCACCTCTTCTTCATCTCCAATCCAGGGGCAATTTCTAATGCAAAGGTCTGACGCTGCTCTCATCACCCCTTTTGAATCTGGAAGGAAAACAGTTCCCCACTCTTTTTGTGCCTTCGACGGACCAATTTCAGAAAGGCCCATTAACTTGCTTAATTGGAGTGCCAGGTTCACCGAAACTTGAATGGTTGGTTCATCTAGATTAGTCTCCCCAAACTGACTCTTTATTTGCTGTAGGCTTGATATGTAATCCTTTTCATCAAATACTTCCTTTACCCCTGCTGCTTTCATTACCGCAGGGAATGCATCGGCAAGTTGCTTCGGCAGTTTGTAAAGATATGGTGCACAATCAGCCGTTAATTCAAAGGCTACTTCCCTTGCAGAGAGAAATCTCCTCTCGACCAGAATGAAATTCTTTCCGCGTAGCAATTTGTAGCATTCATCACCATTGAAGCTAGCCGTTAGGTTAAGACATTTATAAGCCTCGTGGCAAATACGAGTTACTTCTTGATACTGGCTAGCATCTAGCGAACTCACATTTGTGGACATTGCACATTGGATTTGCTGAGTCACATGGCTTAAGGAGGCATCCTTTGTGTTTAGCTTCAAACATTTTTCAACACTTCTCGGAAGGCTAATACCAACCAATGGCTCACTGCAACACACAAGGTACTTTTTATCTTGCAGGAACACCTCTTTTGGTGAAAGCAACACTTGTTGCTTCCTTTGGAAAGCATCTCCTTTCCAGGGAAGTGGGAAATGTTTTGGCTTATTGAGAATTGGAAGAAATTTAGCTTGCAAAAGACGCTGACAGATAGCAGGTGGAAGTGAGTACTCTGGTTTTTTTGAGAACGACATCATTTTCTTCTACCTTTTTTCCCTTCTTATCTTCTTCTCCATGAACCTCAATAACTCCTTAGTACGCTCTAATGCTGCATCAGAGTCAGCTATGTTTAAGCATTGGATACTCTCAGCTCTCTCTGCTACTTCGCTCCATGGAAGATCATCCGAAAGCATTCCCAGACCTTCAAGTTTGGTCAGTCTTTGAGGGCTGAGGTATGATTCTTCATTGCCAAAAGGAAATTTTCCTTCGTCAGGGGAGAACAAGGCAGCTACCTCCTTTCTGGGGTTTACAAGTTGGCTTGGGCACTTGAGGGTCTTGCCAGATGTTGACACCGGAATACAAGCATGTGCCTTTATCATTGGTTCAAAATCACGACCACTATTGTCTAACGCATGAAGCATCAGTAGGTCTCTGTGTTTAACCGGAATTCTCGCCATGTTTAGAAAGAAGCAAGTGCGATAAAAAGCGCCTTCGCTGTATTTTCGACTGTTCATTGTTCTCTCCTGATTGCTCTATTCGAAAGACACCAAAATATCAGACGGTAGATCAACGACCACTTTATTTCGACCCCCTCTGTGATGGATTTGAAGAACCTCAAACGCAGCTTGTCCAGTTTCAGATGCTTCGCGAAATTTTGGATCAAGGAAAACGATCTCGTAGATGTGCACCCACTGAGGGCCGTAAGGAAAAAGGTCAAAACCCCCGTTCGCAACATTTTTATAGAAGGACTTCATGAGGGACTTACAGTTGTGTTGCACGGCCGAACTCATTGGCCACAGCAAATGGAACTGATAAGAGTCTCCAGGGATAACAAGCGACTTGAGGTCGTCAAGAAGAGTTAAATAGGCGGAGCAAACCGAGTCTTCCATGAGTACTTTGTTCCAGTTCACTCCATCACACGATTTGTCATCCTCGACTTTCCTTTGTAAATTTCGCCTGTCAGAAGCTACAGCAAATGCCCCATTTATGTGCACTGGCAAACCACTGTGAATTGGAAGGGGAAGGTAGCAGAAAACAGAGCCATTTACATCTACGCCATCAACATTTTTGACGACAGGCAAAGGTATATACGTGTCAAAACCTCTTGAAATCAGTTGAACAGCTACTCCTGCCGGCGGAACAAGGGTAGCATCATTATGATCCATAACGAACCTCATAGCCTCACCCTTGCCCATCGATGAGACAACTAGCCATGTCGTTTTCTCGTGTTCACAACGGAAGCCGCCACCGAAAAAGTCTAAGCCTTTCTTGGTGAGACTACGGTCGATCTCTATGGATACTGACGAACGTGGAGAATTACCAATGACATCTTCACCATTTTTTAAGTCCTCCATAAATCTTGAGGCTACTTGAAGAAAGTTACTTTCTTGGAGAAGTCTTTTCTCCTCTTTGCTCAGCTTCTCTGCAGTGGTGGGTAGCGTGACATAAGATGACAGTTCCCTCCGTATACCAACCGACGAAAGTGATTTGGTCACCTGAAATAGTAAAATGGGTGCATGTGGAGGCGAAGCACTCGGCAAATTGTAAATTCCCACGCGGAGGATGTTTTGCGTAAAAAGAAGCAAACTTTCGGCACCTTCGAGGAACATTTGCAAAAGTTTTCGCATTTCACAGTCGTTGTAATACAATTGCTTAATCTCGCTTCTTTGAGCTTGCTCTTTTGTCCTCAATGGAAACCGGAAAAGCGTTCCACGAAATGAATTGTCTCTCTTACTTAGACGTAGGTCACAGCCAAAGATTCCATCAAAGGGCTTAAACTGCCCTCTATAGTATTCTCATAGAACCCCTGGGTTCTTGTTGAGGTCAATTTTAACACCTGGCTTCGCGGGGTTTTTTATATGTCTTCGAAGGTGTGACATGTGAGGGTCAAAAACTACAAAGTAGTTTTTGCTTAAAAACATGGGCACATCTGTTAAATTGTAGACTGCATTGAAACCAAGTCCAAATTTTCCAATTTTCTCGGTGTGGTGCTCTTTTGTGGCTCCGCTTAATTTCTCAATGTTTTCAAAGTCCTTTTCTGTAAATTCGGCGTCATTGTAGACCCAAAGAGCAGGGCCCTGGCATTCTTTCATCCCTTCATCAAGCAAGCGGTTCAAGGCATCCTTGTTAGCTCTCTCGTCGTACAGAAATCTCACTTCAGTGGCACCAGCATCGTCTGCGTTTTGGACAAGCTCCTTTAGCACTGCAAATCCATCAGTGTACTGGTCTAGTAATCGGCTAAGTCGTGTAGTTATCTTCTCGTATTGGCCAAATGCTTCGATTGAGGACTCTAAAGGATCTGACAAAGTTCTGGTCGAAGGGCTTGACGCAGATGCAGACCGGGAGAGAGCTGCTGATTTCTTCATTTCCTTCCTTTTAATTCACTTCAAGTTTCCAATTTGGATCTCTAACTACAAAGAATTTTATAATTAAACCTGTATTGTGGCGTATTTTTATGTGAAAGTGTAGAGTGATCGTCCGGTTGAGTGTACTCCTGAGAAGGACTGTTGTCGGTGGTAGTGACTGACGTTTCGACAACCTGTGGGGAAGTCATAATTAGAGTCAAGTGAATAGTTGTTGTCGGTGGAATGTTCTTATTTCAGTTCGTGTAAAATGATTGGTCAGTTTTGCCGTGACGTTATTGGCTGTAAGACACATTGCTGAACATCGATCGTCGACTTACGAACCACAATACTGACTGGGACTCTACGCAATGCCTAACCTACAGCATTGACTACTTTCAACGACTGACTCTGGAAAGCTGGTTTACTAACTTATAGAACAGACTCCTCTAAACAGATGTCAACAACTACCGGCTCCATAGAAACGACTCATTCACGACATAAACAATACAAACGAACCGAACAGAATGACCTAACTTTACCGACGGATCAAAACAGACCAATCACGACCGACTTGCGCCACTTGAGTCTTACAGCCAATAGCATCACGGCAAAACTGACCAATCACTTTACACGAACTGAAATAAGAACATTATACTGACAACTATTCACTTGACTCTGATGATGACTTCCGCACAGGTTGTCGAAACGTCAGTCACTACCACCGTTAACAGTCCTTCTCAGGACTACACTCACCCGGACGATCACTCTACACTTTCACATGTTATCCCGGGTTCAAGCCATTTACTACATATTTTTATGTTTAGAAAAAATTTCAAATAAACAGGATGACAAAGCATTTCAGTTTTGATGATACGAACACATGAAAGTATGTCAGATTTTAATTGTTTTTCATATTTACAAACACTCAAGTAATGCATAGATTTTTTTTGCCAATGACTGGAGAAATTCCTTATTTCATCGTTTCTTGTAAATCTTGAAAATAGACTCAAATGGTCAAACCCCAAGCCAAACTCTTCGATACGATGTATCGTTTTGACAGGTTTTCATTTATAAGGGTTTTCTTGTATAAAGGAGGCTATTTGATTTTAATTCAGATATTATTGCTTTACTGTTATATAAAAAATAGATTCCTGGTAGAGTCAATGTAGTATTCGTTCCTATGTTAATTTGTGTGTATTTCCAAAGTAAGTGCTTTTATTCGTGCTGCAAGGGGGTCTTGTTTCTTGTTGAGCGAGATATTTTTAATGTTTGCATACATTTTGCCGCTTTTGAACGAGGCTCGTATTCTTATTAGCTGTCGTTGGTGGTAGTGCCACAGCAATAAATTATCAACTTCTAAATTGAACTCGAGTTCAAGCTTGACTAGGTCAGACCAGGTTTTGATCGTTCTCTAGGCCAGACAACAC